GGAAGACACACTACCAATCATCTTACCTCAAAAGAAAGGGGATAAAGTATCCATGAACAAACCAATTAGATCTTTCTTTGCCAGAGGTGGTTCAACTTGAGATGCTAATTCTCTCCATCGTTGAGCATACTCCTTGAAAGATTCTTTCTCATTCTGAGACATATTTTGCAGTTGGCGATGATCAGGTGCCATTTCATGGTTGTATTTGAATTGCTTTATGAAAGAATCAACAAGATCTTGGAAGCATTGATACGGCCTTTCTCAAGTCCAATATACCATTTCAATGAAGCTCCACGCAGACTATCTTAAAAACAATGGATAAGCAGCTTGTCATTCTTTGTGTAAGCAGACATCTTTCGAAAGTACATCACCAAATGACTTCTTGGACAAGTGTGCCCCCAGTATTTCTCAAACTCTGGAGTCTTGAACTTTTAAGGCATAACCAGATCAGAAACTAGGCACATGTTGTTAGCATCAACACTGAATAACTCATTTCCTTCCATAGCTCTAAGTCTCTTCTCTAAAGTCTAATATTGTTCTTTGAACTATTCAAACTCACCAAAGTCTCCTTGACTCACACTTCGAGGACTTGAAGCATGGGACTCAAAGAGAGGGTTCCCAAAAGCAGCTTGTGCAGAGGGTTGACGAGAAGCAGTATGAACAATTATCCGAGGTTTAGTGAAAACTGGAGCTTGAAAGACTGGTCGAGCAGACTAGCCAACCATTGAAGTAATTGTAACATGCAGACATTAGTTTTGAGGTAACCCAAATTCTAGCCATGTAGTAGATGTATGCTGGATAGGTTGAGTGTCAACAGCAGTTGGGATTTCAGATATCACAGTCCTTTGAGGTGTCTCTCCTCTGGTAATTAGGACTTGCATCATCTCAGTAAGTTTGGCCATGCCTGACTTTAACTCGTCGATTTCCATTCTGACTTCCATGTTGTGTTGTTCTTGGTTTTCCATTCTCAATCTGACAGCAGCTCTAGTCCCGTAACTGTGTTGAGGAATCAGCTTGATGGTAGACAACTAACTGGAAGAAAGAAGCAACTTGGAATAAGATCCTGAACAACCTGGATGTATGCAGAATGATGCAGAGGATGCAAATGAAATATAATGTTATACAATGCACTGCACATTAACAAGATCACTTGGTTCAGAATCAAGAGCCTGGAGTCAAAGGTACAACCCATAAGGTATGGACTAACGGTTATCACCTGCCGAACAAGGTTCTAAGAGGTTCTCAGAGTCTACATGCTTCCTTCAGATATTACCAACGTCCCGATTAACTCGGTAATTAGCAATATTCTCAGGAAAAACTCGTCCGAGCATAGTATCGCGTGACAACTATTTTCGGATTACTCCGTCATAGTTTCCGCACTACACCTAAAAGGCCAAGATAGGTTAGGTAATCTACGGTCCTCAGATTCGGCAGGCTCCCAAGTCGAAAGCAGTACGTCTTCTCGATTACTCGGTAAACGACACTACCGTCAAAGGGGCCTCCACTGAGTGGGGGATCTCATGTCTCCTTTTTTGGGATTACTCCATCAAAGTTAACAAGACTATACCGCCCGTCCTATCTTAAGTTTACCTAAAGTCCGGGTAGAAGACTTATAAGAAATCACCAAGCCCCTGAAAACCGGGAAAATCCAGACAAACATATATACAACATAATGGGAAGTAATAAACAGCAAGTAAAACAATATATAAACACTCATAGAAAATAAACAAGCAAAGCTAGGATTGACCCACTTAGGAATGGATCAGCAATAGGTCAATTTTTCCCAGCAATAGGTCAATTTAACTGGTTACTGCTATTTTCTCAAAAATCATCATTATGTCAAGGCAGTGGGAACCCGGTTACCTTATAATGGTAACCGGTTACCCTTCACAATTTTTCTTCCCAGAACCAAGTTTTTACATGCGGTAAATGGTTACTCCCCAGTGGTAACCGGTTACCATTGCTATTTTTTCAGAAAATCTGCAGTTTACAGATTACGATTCTCATCTTTTCAAAACTCCAAAACACCAAATTTTCACATAGAATAGCAGCAATTCATCGTACCAAATAGGCATACATCATAACCATAAATGAGATTACTTTACATCTTTAAAATCAAGAGTTTACATACATCAATTCAACATCTCAAATCATCACATATACAAATCACATACAAACCAATTTCACACAAAGAATGATTAAACGATTGCTCAACTTAACTCTACCATAACTCATCATCATACAAACCCTTATAGAGTTAGAACCTCACATTTACCTTAGGTTTTTAGTTCTCTTTCCTGCTCCAATGGAGTCTTCCCTTTAGCCCTAGGTTCTTCCTCTTCTCTTCTACTTCTCACTTCTACGATCTATTTTCTCGTGTTCTCACTTTTATTTTCTAATAACACATCTTAGACCCTTAAATTCATATTCCCACCTTGCCCTTCTTATATTTAATTACTAATATTATAAATAAATTGTATCTATAATATTAATAATATTAATAATGATAATAAATCTTGATAATGATAATGCTCATATTCCCAGTTTACCTCACGGTCTCTACACTTTTAGTCATACACCCCCCCAACAGTTCAACCTCTAATTTCCCAAATAGCATCTCATCACATTGTAAAACATATCATCACCGTAAACACATCATCTCATCTATTGTTTTTAAAATAAAAAATAACCTTAATTAAATTGGGGTGTTACATGTATCGCGCCAGTGACGGATAATCGAGGTGATGCAAGATTGGGAGGTTGATCATGAATCTTCAGTACTTTTGAAGGTAATTATCTCCATTATTTGATAATTCTAGCATAGATCTGGATTTGGATCTAGGATTATTTGTTATTTTACTTCGCGGAGTTCTCATGAGAATCAGAGATTCGGAAATTTGATGAAGTGTAGTTAAAACGATAATTGATTGAATCGAACACGAAGGATCTTCGCATTCAATTATGATTGTTCTTGATTGGAGGTCTTCAAAGGTCACGCACTAGAGAATTGAAGAGCGAACAAGAAATCGCATAAATTAGAAGTTGTTCCCACAGACGTCGTCACTGTTTCTTTCTGGAACTAGAAAATGATATAATTCATTGAAGAGAAATATCGAATAAGTGGTGTTGATCTTCGATACGATGGCACATAATGAATTTACAAAGTTAGCACTCTAACGTCCAAGTCAGTTTAAAATTCAAGATGAATGTAATAAAAAATAGAAATAAAAAAAGTGTCACACTAGCTTGTATACCTTGAATAAGTGGAGTGAGAAAATATATCATGTCATTAATCTATCTTTTTTTTAATACATTTTATGCGGTTCTCTTTATAACATTTTACATTATCAATTATTTCTCATAGTTTTTTTTTATCATCCTTACAAATATTTACAATTTTATAGCTCTTGCTATTGGCTAAGGTAATAATTCCAACATAGAAACTTAAAAAAACAAGCGGCAACGTATATAGTTCAACTAAAAAAATATTTAGATATGTCAAAATTAATTCAACACATATAAAATTAATTTTGATCTAAAAGTAGAACCAAACATACATTTATGTATTTAATATTCTCACGTGTGTATTACACATCCCTCATTCTTTGTAAAATTTGCTTCAATTAATACTATTATTCAAATATTTGCATAAATTTAAATCGTATGCTTTTAAGTTATAATATTTCACTGCCTCATAAAAAGTTATGATATATCATTTTTTAATACATCATTTGATGTCTTATCTTAATTCAAAATTATACATTAGTTTCTTATTTAATAAATATGACATACTGATTCTTTAATAAAGATTTCTATAGTCAATTTAATCCTTTATGTTAAATATTAGAGAAGAATGTTAACTTCAACATATCTGATATTATATACTTTTACAATATTTCTGTCTCAAAACTCAAGATTGTCCCTCACTAATATAAAACTTTAAATTCATTTTCTTTCTTTCCATCTCTCACCCAACTCTCCCCCAATCTATCAATAACAACTCTAAAATTTCTAAACACCGTCTTCATTTCCATGATTTTATCACCATCGATTTCAAAGGTAAACTCCAAACTTACCATCAATCTCTTGTTTGTTGTTGCGGAATGAACGTTAGAGATGGGAAGAAAACTAGAAAACCCTTAGAAATTGGAAAATCGACCTACGAAAATCGTTAAAGATGGTAAGAGAACTAGTAAAGTTGCACCAACAAAGAAATAAAATAGTTACAATACTGATATTTCTAGATCTCAAAACTCCATCAAAATGAATCGGTTTCGTAAAAGTTTTTTGCCGTAATTTTATAATGTACCAGAGTTATGTTTTAAAAATATTTTAATTGAAATTTCATGTGTGTATATAAGGTTCCTATTGATAAATCTTTATTCCTATCATTTTTTCAAACAGTCAAACACTGTGATTGTAGAGTTCAATTATTATGAAAAATTATACAAGGAATTTCAAGTAAAACTTGATATGCACGTCATCCTCTTTTAACAGACAGCAAAAATACCATGAAGAGGTTTAACTAATCCTCATGTGGAGTATCCATCCTTTTAAAAAGAAATACTATAAGACTTCATATATATAATCTTTATTAAATAAATGACTAAAGTGAAACATGAAATTAAGTTAAAGGATTTCGACACTAATTAAACCCTTTTTTTCACAAAATCAATGATATATCATTTCTATGGTGTACAAATTTCCACAACTTTTCCTAGTCATCATGTAATAATAAAAAGCAATATCTCGGGGTACCGGAGTGTTGACCGTAATAAAATACAAACTCTCTAAAGTTTAAACAACGTGTATTCAATTATAAGATGTTTGTCAGAAACAACCAACCATTCATTTGATATTGGTGTGGACTTCAAAAACCTTTAAACAACAAACAAATTGGTAGCAAGCAATAAGTTGGTATCCATTAATTGAATTGAACAAAAAATCTTAATTGAGAAGACCTGTATAAATCAATTTTATGCCCATGAAGTTGGTTCATTCTAATACTGCAGGCTCTTTTGCGCATCAAACACAGGAACTGTTAGATTCAAACGTTTGAATGAATCTTCCGATAAAGCATCCATATTAACAAGCAAGCTAGCCAACTCAATCGCGTCATTTTGCCATCCTCCACAACCAATCCCTTCAATCAACAATATGTAGGTTTTTTCATTTGGCAAGCATCCTCTCTGATTCATAGCAGCGAGCACCTCAATAGCATCTATGAGTCTTTGTACCTTGCACAATCCATAAATAACAGCATTGTAATTAATAACAGCAGGCTGATACTTGTGACTCTCCATCATGTCAACCAACAACTCAATTGCCTGATCCACGAATCCATCTCTGCACAAGTAAGAAATAAGTGAACTATAGGTGACCTTGTCAGGATCAATGCCTTTGCTTAACATATCCAAAATCATCCTCAACGCTCTAATTTCATCGCCGCTGCTCCACAATGCACCAAACAATGTATTATAAGAAATTGCATCTGGAGGACAGCCCACTTCACCGAGCTTCTCAAAGATGTTCAAAGCCTCATCAGCATGTCCATTCTTACACAGAGAAGCCAAGATCGAGTTATAGGAAACAATACTAGGCAAACCACCATCTGATATCATGTTATCTAAATACTCTATAGCCAAATTTACTTTTCCTTCTTTACAAATAGCAGAAATCAATGGATTGTAACAATAACCATCAGGAGCCAACCCTCTCTTCTTCATACCCTTCAACACATTCTCAGCCTCGACAATTTTGCCATCACGACAAAGCGAACTAATCAATATGCTGTATGTCACACAACTCAGCTCACAACCTTTATCCAACATATCAGACATCAAACTCTCTCCAGCTTCCCATTTCCCTTCTTTCAAAAGATTCTTCAACAGAAGATTATAAGGACTCACACCAGCAACACAGCCCTTACAACTTATACTACTAAGATACTTAAAAGCTCTATCCAACAACCCTTCTTTACACATACCTTTAACAACAACATTATAAGTAAACACATCAGGTCGAAGCCCTCTCGACAACATCTCATCCAAAAGCTTCATAGCCTTATCAATACCACCTTCAATAATAGTTGCTTTAATCAAAATAGTATAAGTTATAACATCTGGCCTACAATTATCTTTCAACAACTGATCCATAACCCTTAAAGCCAAATCAAGTTTACCCCTCCAACAAAGACCCCCAATGAGAATATTATAAGTAACAACATCAGGTAAAAAACCTCTCTTTTTCATTCTATCAAGCACCTTATTGGCATCATCAACTCTATCAGCTTTACAGAACCCATTTAAAACTGCATTATACGCGAAAACATCAGGCTGGCCGTGCTTTTCCAAAATCTGCAAGACCCGAATAGCTTTCCGGGTTTTCTTAGAATTGAAAAACCCGTTAATCAATTTAGTGCAGAGAATGACATCAGGTTTATAACCCCTATCAACCATGAGCTGAAGAAAGTAGAGAGCTTCATCGTACTTACCTGATTTGAATGACCTAATGAGAGCTCTCGTGACATCAGGTTTATAACCCCAATCAAGTTTTGGCCTTGTTTCATTGACCCTGATTCTTGTTCTTCGGTTGTTGGTGTTGCGCGGGGTTGAGGAAGTGACGATAGTGTTGGGATTTGAATGGCGAGAAGTGCGGTTTGGGTGGTTTCTAAGATTGAGAGTGTGTGATAAGAATTCAGTTGAAAAGGTTGTCATTGATGATGACGATGATGTTATCGGTTGTTGTTGGAAGATTTATGGCTTGAGTTTGGACAAAATTCAGTATCATAGAATGGATAAGGGACAATGACATATTTTATCCTAACCAAATATTATTCGAAGGACAAATTCGAAGAATATTTTTCAAAGATGGTAAAGAGAAATTTTTTATATGATATGGCTATTCAGACTTTCATTAAGGTTTTCTACTTATAGATTAAGTATATAAAAAAATAGTTTATGAAAAATACAAAAATTAGCTATATCTATAATTATGTATCTTCTGGATAATTTTATTGGTCGAGCTTTGGACCCAGATATAGAGTAGTCTGTCCATCTTAGCAAATGACCAAACAATGCGTAAACGGGTTTGATGTGTTAGTGTGTCAGGTAGGATACAACGATATAATTATGGTAAATGTATATATGACCTGATGTCTCTCGTAAAGTATCTCGCTGCTACGGGCCTCTGGTTTGAGAGAATGTGTACATGTCTGAAAATTTGGTCGAATTTATACTTAGGCTCAAGAGAACCATCTTGGTATCACACACAAATCACTTAGTTCATATTAATGGATCTCAAGCAAAAAAGATTGAGGACTTGATTCCCAATAAGACTCATGCAAACAAAGGAATGTAGGTCTTGATGGCAAACCAATGGGCTTTATGGACACAAATCAACTAAGAAGATTATATAATAGATGCAATTAGAGAGGGAAAAAGGAGGATATATGTTTTTCCTGCGACGAGTCAATTAACTATTTGCGACTCTTATCGGCCTAATATCGATGGAGTTATCAAATTATGTACCATGCATGTACATATGGCGGCCATTATAGGGCTCAGTAAAACTGACTAGGGCCTGACGTTCATTCCTGCAATAAAGTAACCTTTTTGAGGTGGAGATAGAGGGGGAAATAGCAATGACAAATGAAAATGCACTTAAAAATCATTGTAACCAACCACATCATAAGGACCCTCTAATTTTTTAGTCATTACTCATTGCCTATTTATTTCCCATATCTCTTTAATCGCCATAGCCCATTTGCAACTAGAGGAGTTTTACGTCTCACAACAAGAGTGACATATTTTCCTCTCTATCGTTAATATGTTCTCTGGTGACAACCACTCGATTGTCATTGACTCGTTTACCATCATGGGCGAGCACAATAACATTCTCGATGCAGACTCACCAAGTTATTTCACAAAGTTGTCATTGTTCCCTTTGATGCATAAACTCCTTATCTTTGTGATCTCTCTATCATATTTTCATATACGTTAGCCCTCGACGATGATGCCACCTCAATAAAAGTCGCCACAACCAACTCCTACGAACCCAATTGAGTTCTAAGCTCATGGTTGATGGGACTTCAATGAACTAAATCGAAATAGGTCGGATATGGTGAGATACCAATCAATGTCACCGACAAAGCTTCTAATCTGGAAAGCACCAAAGAGGTTTATGATCTTAAGGTTGGCAACGTAACACCCTAAATCCGAAAATTTATATAAAAATATATATTCGACAATTTAAGGCGTCACCACAACAACCATCCAAAAACTTTCAAAACATTTGACAACACACAACGGAAAATCATAATAAGTTAAATGATTTATTTGATTATATACGAGTTAATGATTTATTTGAAGAGAGTCATATTTATAAATTTGAAATTAGATTAAAAACACTCTAAAAAGGAAATAATACACACAAAAAAAAGCTCAAAGTTTATGATTCTATCTTAGTCAACAAATTTAAGAATCTGAACTTGTTTATGACCAGATGCAAAATAGATTTGAAAAATATTTAAACTTAATAGGATTTTATTTATTTTTTAGATTTTTTTGACTATTTTTTATGTAAAATAATAATTTTAATAAAAAATATTTTATAATATAATAAATAAAAGAAAACGAAAATAGTATTTAAATAATAAAAAACATGATTTTTGTGATTTTGAAAATAATTAAAAATGGAAATAAAGTTAGTAATAAATAAATATAAAAATATCCAAAGTGTATCAAGTGAGATTCGAATCCATGACCTTATTATGTTTGAGAGTTTGCTCCTGCAATTTGTTACTTATTTAAAATAGAAAGTCAATTGAAAGTATATGAAGGATAAACAAGTTTTTGCTATTTAAGAAAAATAAATAATTTTAAATAAACTAATATATATTTTTAAATAGATAAAATAAATTGAAAACGAATATTTTTAAAACCCAAAATGCTAGTGTAAATAAACCAAAAAATTTATAAAGGCTAAGTTAAAAATAATCTGACTGTTAGAAATAGGACGAACAAATTTGGGGTATGATAGTTGCCCCTATTTAATTACTCTTGGGTTGAAGCATGCGAGTATACGAATGTCTCGCACATTCGGATCAAAGGATTATTAAATAATGGAAGACCCTAAATTTGACCAAAATATTTGTAAAAGGATGATCTGTAAGATAAACCAAAAAGTAGACAGGCAAGGATGACACAGTTAACTCACCAATGCCTAGAGCAAGAACATAACTGACCTTGATATGACGACGCAGATAACTCATCAACACCTAGAAAAAGTAATCGCAGATTTCACATATTTACCACAACCTAGAGGGTAAATAACGTGATTTTGAAAATACATAACTTATGCTGCTTCGAGATTAATGCAATAAGTTATATCATAGATTTCGCATATTTACCATAACCTAGGGGATAAATAACACAAGTTTGATAACTCATTATCGCTTCGAGACTAACACAATGAATTATATCGCAAATTTTCATACATCTACCACAACCTATGGGGTAGATAATATGAGTTTTAAAAAATAACTTACTAACGCTCTGTGACTAACATAGTAAGCTACATCATAGATTTGCAACGTTTATCACAACCTAGGGGATAAACAGCTGAAGACGTGCCTCAGAAGATGCAAACTTATTTGCCTAGAGTGCAGCAGAAATTCCCGACTTGGATTTAAAGATAGCTTTCCATCATCCGACGATAGATCCTGCCCTTAAGGTAGTTGCTCAGCATAGGTGCCGGAAGTCCCCAGAAAAAATCGAGATCGTCGGGCAAGCTGATAAAGACCTTCTAGAGGGAAATTTTATTTCTGAAGCCCGGTATACATCCTGGATTTCTAATGTAGTGGTTGTGAAAAATAATAATAGAAAATGGCGCATGTGCATTGACTATATGTTGGCTGAAGATTTTGATAATATTATTTAGAAGCCAAATGAGTTAAACGTTTTGATCGAAATGGAATTAAACGTCATATTTCGAAGTAGCGGAAGCAGTGTTTCGAATAAGTGTGTCAAAGCTTGGAGCTTCGAGCGGCAATTATGGGAACATATCTAACGGAGTTTCGAAACAACAGCGAGGCTGTGTCTGGGAAGAGCGTTCGAAACGGAGAAACACCAAAGCATTTAAAATTCAAATGGAAGCGGGACTTTCAAAGTTTGAAAGTTATGTGTTGGAGCATTTGGGGACACGTGGAAAGATGAAAGAAGCATTGTCCTGCATGTTCGAAACGTGGCATAATCCTATAGCAAGACCGTTATGGTCGAATTAGTATAAATAGAAGTCTTAGTATTAGGATTTCGTGTGTCATATCTATTATACAAAATACTCAATAACATTCAAACTACCACATGGCAAGGGAAACGAATGCAAGAGAAATGTATGTATGATAGCACCATGTATTTCTGATTTAATGAAAACCTTTTACCATTTCCAGTACTTTCCTTTATTCCTTTTGTCAAACAACATTTACAAGTTTTCTTATTTACAGTCTTTTCACTTCAAAATCTCTTCTTCAAAGTTTTACATTTTAATGTTTTCTTTATATTTCAAGCACTTTATATTTCAGAAAACTGTCATATTTTCCATACCTTTACCTTCAAGTCTTATCCTTCGAACGCATATGTTTACTTAAAATCATTTACAGATTTCTTGCATTAAACGCTTTATTCACATTTCAAACTTTTACGCTCCAGAGATCCTTTATGTTAACCGTTTTGTCGAAGCCGTTTACTTCACTTTTATGCAGTTTTACATGTCTTTACAATTAGCATTACAATTAGCATTTATTCGTGTAACTTAGTTTTCACACACATTTTGATTACATCTTTAGACTCTTAGAGAGAGAGAGATCGAAACAAGCCAAACACCTATACAATATCAACCATGAATATCTGTTCGATTGTGAGAGTAACCTTAATATCCAAGGAGTCCTAGGATCAATCTAGTCGATCCTGTGAGTTACCAGAGGAATTGAATAACAGTAAGAAAGATTATTCGATAGTTTGGAAGACTAGCGGTTGTTTACCAGAAATCACTGGAAACAAATTGGCACACCTGGTGGGACCAATAATTGGATATCAGAATTAAGGATTGTTGAGACATAACCATTACAAAAAAACGTTGGAACCTAAGAAGTTTGCTGTTTTATGAACCTGAGAAGTGGTAAGATAACCAACAGCAACCAACCTTTATCCAGAAGAAAACGTTTGGACAAAATGTCTAATTCAGACAATCAACAAGGGGACCAAAGTGGCCCACATACAACAGGCACTAACGCGTCCACTTCGATCGGAACATCTAATGTAATCCCTTCAAATGCACAGTCTGTTGCATCTTCGACCAGTAACATAGCCACCAATGGAGTAAGTGGCATATCAACTAATAGTTCGATCTTAGGAAATACTGGAACTATTGGCTACCCTGGGGGATTCGTTCCACCATCAGGGACCACCCGGTTTCGATGGGAATAGAACCAGAAATTCCTCTTATGGAATGCCAACATCTTTTATGGCAGGTTTACACAATTCCACATCGAATTCATCTCCACAACTAGGGTCTGGGTCTGGGGCGAATCAGTTTATGACAAATAACCAAGGGTCGGTGGGTTATAGCACAATGCCTATCCTAACCACAGACAACCAGTTGGCTTTTAGGCAATTGATGGATGACAGTAACCATAATATGATAGGGGTGTTAGCACAAA